CTTAAATATATGGGCAACGAGTTGGGCGACTTCGCCGGCAAAAGTCTGGTGACCACAGATATGCAGGAGATCTTTGAAATTGTTATCAACAGAATTCATATGCTTTCCAAATATCGAATGGAAAAGAAGAAGAAGTTGTCCAACAAATGGAAGACAACGATCGGCAAGAAGTGGTCCACAAATACGGGTAAACTCGTCGTCATTAAGCCGTTTCAGTTTGAATTGTGCGAAGACGTCGACGAGACTTTGGAGAGGGCACGAGACGCCTATTTTCTACCTGGGTCAAATGTATGTTTTGTTAATTATTTTGTTATTATTAAAGTTTATAATTTGAATGCTGTTTTGTTGGCCATTTCATTGTCTAGAATTATACAATGAAATGGTCAACAATCAAACATGGTAATGATTGTTTAATGATTCAGCTATATTTATAGCTTAATCATGACCAAATAAGCTATTTATGTATTTCAATAGTTTATAACACCGTTTTAAATAATTAGCAGTTTATTTGCTGCATTAGTAATTACAGTAAAATATAACTTTTGAGAGAGAGAGAGAGAGAGAGAGAGAGAGAGAAGAATATAAGAAAGAATTACAACTTATTTATGGTATACTTGATTACGTAATTAATTTATTGTTTTTAACTGATCAGGATGGCAATGATAATATCACTATAAAGGCTATCGACAACCACACCAACTCAATTGACATAGCTCACACTATAATTGCTGAGAAAATCGTGGAAGAATTTAAATAATTAAGCTATTGCTTTTAACAATCAATTTTACTGCTGTATATCAAAATATTGATAATTTTTTAATCATTTATTAGTATAATATAAGTTATACTGTTTACAAAATTATTTACAAAATAGCAAAAATGCATATTAAAGATATTCTATAAAAATAAAATTTTTATTATAAACAACAGCAATAATTATTATAATTATGATGAAAATATGATTGTCAATCCTATTTTAGGCTTCACCAAAAGAGATGTTTAAGGGCATTTAAACGCAAATTTAAGGGGGCGAGAATTCATGCAATATTTAATTATATTAATAATAAATAATAAAATTGTTGCCAATATTTTTCGCAAGTTGCCTCATATACAGTATAATATAAATTTAATAATAATTGTCGAAGCTGATGTATTCATAAATTCATTTGTACTAACTTTATTAGTTGTATATATTTGCACTTATATTTATTAATTGTTTGTAAATAGTTATGCAAATCCATGGCATCTATAATTCAACGAAACGGTGCAGAAACAAGGATCACACAGCGATGCTATACGTTAACCACAATTCGGGAAATGCTCAAAGAATAGATAGTCTATAGATATTGCGTTTAATAATTGTATTTTGAAAATTTAATTTTAAAAGCATTGTTAACTGAATATCATTTTTCAATATTTTTCATTGTTAGTTCACTTTCAACAATAGAATTTCGATACTAATAATAATATATTAAATCATAAATTATTTTCTATTAATTGGCAAATATTTATATGAAGATATGTTTGACAGATGTTATGAAATAATATGAAATATAATAGTGAACAAGGATCACACAGCGATGCTATACGTTAACCACAATTCGGGGAATGCTCAAAGAATAGATAGTCTATAGATATTGCGTTTAATAATTGTATTTTGAAAATTTAATTTTAAAAGCATTGTTAACTGAATATCATTTTTCAATATTTTTCATTGTTAGTTCACTGTCTCAGCTTAGTAAGTCTTAGCATTGCCCATAGACTTAGCATTGTCCATGTTATCTCTATGTCATAGACATAGCATTGCCTATGTTATTCCTATGTCATAGAATTAGCATTGCCCATAGACTTAGCATTGCCCATGTAATTCCTATGTCATAGACTTAGCATTGCCCATGTTATTCCTATGTCATAGACTTAGCATTGTCCATAGACTTAGCATTATCAACAGACTTATCATTGTCCATAGACTTAGCACTGTCCATAGACTTAGCATTGCCCATGTTATTCCTATGTCATAGACTTAGCATTACCAATAGACTTATCATTGTCCATAGACTTAGCACTGTCCATAGACTTAGCATTGCCCATGTTATCCCTATGCCATAGACTTCTATAAGCTGTTATCCAATAGAAACCCATGTTAAAGCATTCTCCCATAGACTTATCATTAGTCCCATAGGATTAACATCGAGAAAAACTACCCTTTCCCTTCATATTTCGCTTTCCCATAGGAAATTTTCTCCCATAGGATTAACATTACCCATAGGATAACATAGGTAATGCTAAACCATAAAAACTAAATT